AGGGAGTGAGATGGAACAGATGGAGAATAGTCCACACACGGTGTAGAAGGGAGTGAGATGGAACAGATGGAGATTAGTCCACACACGGGGTAGAAGGGAGTGAGATGGAACAGATGGAGATTAGTCCACACACGGTGTAGAAGGGAGTGAGATGGAACAGATGGAGATTAGTCCACACACGGTGTAGAAGGGACTGAGATGGAACAGATGGAGATTAGTCCACACACGGTGTTAGAAGGTGGAGTGAGATGGAACAGATGGAGATTAGTCCACACACGGTGTAGAAGGGAGTGAGATGGAACAGATGGAGAATAGTCCACACACGGTGTAGAAGGGAGTGAGATGGAACAGATGGAGATTAGTCCACACACGGTGTAGAAGGGACTGAGATGGAACAGATGGAGATTAGTCCACACACGGTGTTAGAAGGTGGAGTGAGATGGAACAGATGGAGATTAGTCTACACACGGTGTAGAAGGGAGTGAGATGGAACAGATGGAGATTAGTCCACACACCGTGTTAGAAGGTGGAGTGAGATGGAACAGATGGAGATTAGTCCACACACGGTGTTTGGAGTGAGATGGAACAGATGGAGATTAGTCCACACGGTGTTAGAAGGGAGTGAGATGGAACAGATGGAGATTAGTCCACACACGGAGTAGAAGGGAGTGAGATGGAACAGATGGAGATTAGTCCACACATGGTGTTAGAAGGGAGTGAGATGGAACAGATGGAGATTAGTCCACACATGGTGTTAGAAGGGAGTGAGATGGAACAGATGGAGATTAGTCCACACATGGTGTTAGAAGGGAGTGAGATGGAACAGATGGAGATTAGTCCACACATGGTGTTAGAAGGGAGTGAGATGGAATAGATGGAGATTAGTCCACACACGGTGTAGAAGGGAGTGAGATGGAACAGATGGAGATTAGTCCACACACGGTGTTAGAAGGGAGCGAGATGGAACAGATGGAGATTAGTCCACAGTGTAGAAGGGAGTGAGATGGAACAGATGGAGATTAGTCCGCAAACGGGGTAGAAGGTGGAGTGAGATGGAACAGATGGAGATTAGTCCACACACGGTGTAGAAGGGAGTGAGATGGAACAGATGGAGATTAGTCCACACACAGTGTAGAAGGGAGTGAGATGGAACAGATGGAGATTAGTCCACACACGGTGTAGAAGGGAGTGAGATGGAACAGATGGAGATTAGTCCACACACGGGGTAGAAGGAAGTGAGATGGAACAGATGGAGATTAGTCCACACACGGTGCTAGAAGGGAGTGAGATGGAACAGATGGAGATTAGTCCACACACGGTGTTAGAAGGTGGAGTGAGATGGAACAGATGGAGATTAGTCCACACACGGGGTAGAAGGGAGTGAGATGGAACAGATGGAGATTAGTCCACACACGGTGTTAGAAGGTGGAGTGAGATGGAACAGATGGAGATTAGTCCACACACGGTGTTAGAAGGGAGTGAGATGGAACAGATGGAGATTAGTCCACACACGGTGTTAGAAGGTGGAGTGAGATGGAACAGATGGAGATTAGTCCACACACGGTGTTAGAAGGGAGTGAGATGGAACAGATGGAGATTAGTCCACACATGGTGTTAGAAGGGAGTGAGATGGAACAGATGGAGATTAGTCCACACACGGTGTAGAAGGGAGTGAGATGGAACAGATGGAGATTAGTCCACACACGGTGTTAGAAGGGAGCGAGATGGAACAGATGGAGATTAGTCCACAGTGTAGAAGGGAGTGAGATGGAACAGATGGAGATTAGTCCGCAAACGGGGTAGAAGGTGGAGTGAGATGGAACAGATGGAGATTAGTCCACACACGGTGTAGAAGGGAGTGAAATGGAACAGATGGAGATTAGTCCACACACGGTGTAGAAGGGAGTGAGATGGAACAGATGGAGATTAGTCCACACACGGTGTAGAAGGGAGTGAGATGGAACAGATGGAGATTAGTCCACACACGGGGTAGAAGGAAGTGAGATGGAACAGATGGAGATTAGTCCACACACGGTGTTAGAAGGGAGTGAGATGGAACAGATGGAGATTAGTCCACACACGGTGTTAGAAGGTGGAGTGAGATGGAACAGATGGAGATTAGTCCACACACGGGGTAGAAGGGAGTGAGATGGAACAGATGGAGATTAGTCCACACACGGTGTTAGAAGGTGGAGTGAGATGGAACAGATGGAGATTAGTCCACACACGGTGTTAGAAGGGAGTGAGATGGAACAGATGGAGATTAGTCCACACACGGTGTTAGAAGGTGGAGTGAGATGGAACAGATGGAGATTAGTCCACACACGGTGTTAGAAGGGAGTGAGATGGAACAGATGGAGATTAGTCCACACACGGGGTAGAGGGGAGTGAGATGGAACAGATGGAGATTAGTCCACACGGTGTAGACGGGAGTGAGATGGAACAGATGGAGATTAGTCCACACACGGTGTAGAAGGTGGAGTGAGATGGAACAGATGGAGATTAGTCCACACACGGTGTTAAAAGGGAGTGAGATGGAACAGATGGAGATTAGTTCACACACGGTGTAGAAGGGAGTGAGATGGAACAGATGGAGATTAGTCCACACACGGGGTAGAAGAGAGCGAGATGGAACAGATGGAGATTCGTCCACACACGGTGTTAAAAGGTGGAGTGAGATGGAACAGATGGAGATTAGTCCACACACGGTGTTAGAAGGGAGCGAGATGGAACAGATGGAGATTAGTCCACACACGGTGTTAGAAGGTGGAGTGAGATGGAACAGATGGAGATTAGTCCACACACGGTGTTAGAAGGGAGTGAGATGGAACAGATGGAGATTAGTCCACACACGGTGTTAGAAGGGAGTGAGATGGAACAGATGGAGATTAGTCCACACACGGTGTAGACGGGAGTGAGATGGAACAGATGGAGATTAGTCCACACACGGGTAGAAGGGAGTGAGATGGAACAGATGGAGATTAGTCCACACACGGGTAGAAGGGAGTGAGATGGAACAGATGGAGATTAGTCCACACACGGTGTAGACGGGAGTGAGATGGAACAGATGGAGATTAGTCCACACACGGGTAGAAGGGAGTGAGATGGAACAGATGGAGATTAGTCCACACACGGTGTAGAAGGTGGAGTGAGATGGAACAGATGGAGATTAGTCCACACACGGGTAGAAGGGAGTGAGATGGAACAGATGGAGATTAGTCCACACACGGTGTTAGAAGGTGGAGTGAGATGGAACAGATGGAGATTAGTCCACACACAGTGTAGAAGGGAGTGAGATGGAACAGATGGAGATTAGTCCACACGGGGTAGAAGGGAGTGAGATGGAACAGATGGAGATTAGTCCACACACGGTATTAGAAGGGAGTGAGATGGAACAGATGGAGATTAGTCCACACACGGTGTTAGAAGGGAGTGAGATGGAACAGATGGAGATTAGTCCACACACGGTGTAGAAGGTGGAGTGAGATGGAACAGATGGAGATTAGTCCACACACGGGGTAGAAGGTGGAGCGAGATGGAACAGATGGAGATTAGTCCACACACGGTGTTAGAAGGGAGTGAGATGGAACAGATGGAGATTAGTCCACACACGGTGTAGAAGGTGGAGTGAGATGGAACAGATGGAGATTAGTCCACACACGGTGTGAGAAGGTGGAGTGAGATTGAACAGATGGAGAATAGTCCACACACGAGGTAGAAGGTGTAGTGAGATGGAACAGATGGAGATTAGTCCACACACGGTGTTAGAAGGGAGAGAGATGGAACAGATGGAGATTAGTCCACACACGGGGTAGAAGGGAGTGAGATGGAACAGATGGAGATTAGTCCACACACGGTGTTAGAAGGTGGAGTGAGATGGAACAGATGGAGATTAGTCCACACACGGGGTAGAAGGTGGAGTGAGATGGAACAGATGGAGATTAGTCCACCAACGGTGTTAGAAGGTGGAGTGAGATGGAACAGATGGAGATTAGTCCACACACGGGGTAGAAGGTGGAGTGAGATGGAACAGATGGAGATTAGTCCACACACGGTGTAGAAGGGAGTGAGATGGAACAGATGGAGATTAGTCCACACACGGTGTTGGAAGGGAGTGAGATGGAACAGATGGAGATTAGTCCACAGACGGTGTAGGAGGGAGTGAGATGGAACAGATGGAGATTAGTCCACACACGGTGTAGACGGGAGCGAGATGGAACAGATGGAGATTAGTCCACACATGGGATAGAAGTGAGATGGAACAGATGGAGATTAGTCCACACACGGTGTTAGAAGGTGGAGTGAGATGGAACAGATGGAGATTAGTCCACACACTGGGTAGAGGGGAGTGAGATGAAACAGATGGAGATTAGTCCACACACGGTGTAGAAGGGAGCGAGATGGAACAGATGGAGATTAGTCCACACACGGTGTTAGAATGGAGTGAGATGGAACAGATGGAGATTAGTCCAAACACGGTCTTAGAAGGTGGAGTGAGATGGAACAGATGGAGATTAGTCCACACACGGTGTTAGAAGGGAGTGAGATGGAACAGATGGAGATTAGTCCACACACGGTGTTAGAAGGGAGTGAGATGGAACAGATGGAGATTAGTCCACACACGGTGTTAGAAGGTGGATTGAGATGGAACAGATGGAGATTAGTCCACACACGGGGCAGAAGGGCGTGACGTCACGCGCCATTGAATGGTAGATGACATGACGTCACGCGCCATGGTATTCCGATGACGTCACGCGCTATGGGATTCCGACAACGTGCGTAATTGTGCTATCGATGACGTCACTTTCGACGGTTTTTTTCGAAGACGTCACGCAGTTGTGTGTTTTTTATTCTGTCTGAGCGGACATCTCATGATGAAAGAGCTTCGCTCCTCATCGGATTCCTCCGGGTGCAAATAAATAAGCGTGATTACGTCACGCGCGGTGGGAGTGCTAATGACGTCACTTCCGCCGAACTTAACGGTGAATTCGAGACGTAACGTGCGATGGGTGGGGGCCGGGGTGCTTGCCTGTGACTTCATGTCCACTTATTCGGTCACGCCCCCCCCTGCGAGACCGACGTCACTTCCACGCTCACTTCCGGTCTCGTTCCGAGCGTTCATTCCCATTCTCGCCTCTCCTTAATTAACTCTCTAAATTAACTCTCTAAATTAACTCTCTCGTTATATATCATCTCTCTATTTAACTCTCTCCATAATTAACTCCCTTTTTAACTCTCTCCAACGCTCTCGTCAAATCCGCTTCTCGCTATATATAACTCTCTAATTTAACTAAATTTAGCTCTTTTAGCTTTACGTTTAATCCTTCCCACCGCCATGAACCCCAAAGGCGGCAAGGAGGAGGCTCCCTTCGACTTGGAGAATCACTTCATCCTGCGGCTACCCAGCGTGAGCAGTGGTGCACCTAGCCTGGCACCACACACACACAGTGGTGTACCTAGCCTGGCACCACACTCACAGACAGTATTGTACCTAGCCTGGCACCACACACACACAGTGGTGTACCTAGCCTGGCACCACACACAGTGGTGCACCTAGCCTGGCACCACACACAGTGGTGTACCTAGCCTGGCACCACACACAGTGGTGCACCTAGCCTGGCACCACACACACACAGTGGTGTACCTAGCCTGGCACCACACACACACAGTGGTGTACCTAGCCTGGCACCACTCACACACAGTGGTGTACCTAGCCTGGCACCACACACACACAGTGGTGTACCTAGCCTGGCACCACACACACACAGTGGTGTACCTAGCCTGGCACCACACTAACACAGTGTTGTACATAGCCTGGCACCACACACACACAGTGGTGTACCTAGCCTGGCACCACACACACACAGTGGTGCACCTAGCCTGGCACCACACACACACAGTGGTGCACCTAGCCTGGCACCACACTAACACAGTGGTGCACCTAGTCTGGCACCACACACACACACAGTGGTGCACCTAGCCTGGCACCACACACACACAGTGGTGCACCTAGTCTGGCACCATACACACAGTGGTGTACCTAGCCTGGCACCACACACACTCATCTCTGTGTGTCTCCGTGTGTCTCTGTGTCTCTGTGTGTGTCTCTGTGTGTGTCTGTGTCTCTGTGTGTGTCTCTGTCTCTCTGTGTGTCTCTGTCTCTCTTTGTGGCTCTGTGTCTCTGTGTGTGTCTCTCTCTGTGTGTCTCTGTGTGTGTCTCTGTCTCTCTGTGTGTGTCTCTGTGTCTCTTTGTGTGTTTCTGTGTGTCTCCGTGTGTCTCTGTGTGTCTTTGTCTCTCTGTGTGACTGTGTCTGTGTCTCTCTGTGTGTCTCTCTGTGTGTGTCTGTCTCTCTGTGTGTGTCTGTCTCTCTGTGTGTCTCTGTGTGTGTCTGTCTCTCTGTGTGTCTCTGTGTGTGTCTCTCTGTGTGTCTCTGTGTCTCTGTGTGTGTCTCTCTGTGTGTCTCTGTGTGTGTCTCTATGTGTGTCTGTGTCTCTGTGTGTGTCTCTGTCTCTCTGTGTGTCTCTATGTGTGTCTATGTCTCTGTGTGTGTCTCTCTGTGTGTCTCTGTGTGTGTCTCTCTGTGTGTCTGTGTCTCTGTGTGTGTCTCTGTCTCTCTGTGTGTCTCTGTGTGTGTCTATGTCTCTGTGTGTGTCTCTGTGTGTGTCTCTGTGTGTGTCTCTGTGTGTGTCTGTGTGTCTCACGACAGGAGCAAGCTGAGGCTGTGCGCCGAATCATTCACTCTGGCAACATGAATCCTCGAGAGAGATTCACCATTCACCTGCACCGTGAGTCACCCCCACTCACCCCCCCACTCACCCCCCCACTCACCCCCCCACTCACCCACCCACCCACTCACCCACCCCCCCACTCACTCACCCACTACTCACCCACTCACCCACCGACTCACCCACTCACTCATCCACCCACTCACCCCCCCCCCCCCCACTCACTCACCCACTCACCCACCCACTCACCCACTTACTCACCCACTCACTCAATCACTCACCCACTCACTCACCCCCCACTCACCCACCACTCACCCCCCACTCACCCACCACTCACCCCCCACTCACCCACCACTCACCCCCCACTCACCCACTCACTCACTCACCCACTCACTCAATCACTCACCCACTCACTCACTCACTCACCCACTCACTCACCCACTCACTCAATCACTCACCCACCCACTCACTCACCCACTCACACACCCACTCACTCACCCACCCACCCACTCACCCCCCCACTCACTCACTCACTCTCCCACTTACTCACCCACTTACTCACCCACTCACTCACCCACTCACTCACTCACCCACTACTCACCCACTCACCCACTTACTCACCCACTCACTCACCCACTCACTCACCCACTCACTCACTCACTCTCCCACTTACTCACCCACTTACTCACCCACTCACTCACCCACTCACTCACTCACCCACTACTCACCCACTCACCCACTTACTCACCCACTCACTCACCCACTCACTCACCCACTCACTCACTCACCAGTCACTCACCACTCACCCACTCACCCCCCACTCACCCCCCCACTCACCCCCCACTCACCCCCCCCAGCTGATGGACGTCACGGCGTGGTGAAGGTGGACTCCTGCCCGCTGTCTGCTCGTCTCGTAGAGCTGCCCTGCATCGTTGAGTCGCTCAAGACCATCGACAAGAAGAACTTCTACAAGACAGCCAACGTGTGTCAGGTGGGCGGGGTGGTGGTGGGCGGGGTGGTGGTGGGGTGAGTGGGTGGGTGGCTGAGTTAGTGGGTGGGTGGGTGGGTTAGTGGGTGGGTGAGTGGGTGAGTGGGTGGGTGAGTTTGTGGGTGGGTGAGTGGGTGGGTGAATGAGTGGGTGAGTGAGTGAGTGGGTGAGTGAGTGGGTGAGTGAGTGGGTGAGTGAGTGAGTGAGTGGGTGAGTGGGTGGGTGGGTGAGTTGGTGGATGGGTGAGTGGGTGGGTGTGTGAGTGGGTGGGTGGGTAAGTGAGTGAGTGAGTGGGTGAGTGGGTGGGTGAGTGTGTGGCTGAGTGGGTGAGTGCGTGGGTGATTGGGTCAGTGGGTGAGTGGGTCAGTGGGTGAGTGGGCGAGCGAGTAGGTGAGCGAGCAGGTGGGGGAGTGGGTGGCTTAGTGTTCCAGCATCGGCGCATCCACACCACATCATGGATGCATGCCGGGTCCAAGCAAGAACATCTGCTGGACTACATAGTGACGGACCAGCGGATGCTTGACACCAGGACCTACCGTGGAGCTGATCTGCCCTCTGACCATCGACTAGTCATCTGTAAGATGCGCCTGCCATTCTTCCACGCCGGTGGTGGGTGTACACCCAGGACCCCATTCAAATCTAAGGTGGCCTGGTCTCAGCTAGCTGATGAAAGTCGCAAGCGAGAATTTCATCATCGCTTACGGCTGGGGTTGGCATCGTCCACCACTCCTCCTGATGCCGAGGGTAAATGGGCGAGGTTTAGGACTGTGGCTCATGCAGCTGCAATGGCTGCTTTGGGTACACGGTCCAGACCTCCTCAGAGACCCTGGCTGACAGAGGAGGTGTTCAAGCTGGCTAAGAAAAAGCGACAGGCCCACTGTCATCGTCTACAGCATTCCACGTCGGAGAATAAGGAGGCTTACCGAAGCCTTCGCTCGGAGGTTCGGAGAGCCGTGAGGCGCTGCAAGGATGGGTGGTGGTCGCGGGTTGCTGAGGAGATGGAGTCTGCCTCAGTGGCCCGCGATCACAAATCTCTATTTAATTCCATCAAAAAAGTGACCTGCAGCGCCATACCTATTACCATCATTAGGGGAAAGAACGGTGATCCAATCTCCGACCGACAGGAACACGTTTTCAGATTTGCTGAGCATTTCTGTATGGTCCTGGGGGAGGGGAAATCCCTAAGCCAGGAAAACATCGTGGCACAAAGTGGGGATGACCCTGCTGAGGCTGCGGTGCCTCAAATATTGGAGGAAGTCACCCCCTGTGAGTGGCTGGCTGATGTGCCATCTGTTGAGGAAGTACTGAAGGCAATCCAGAGTCTGAGACCAGGAAAGGTGCCGGGTAGAGATGATATCCCAAGCGAAATGCTGAGGGAGGGTGGCGTTAGTGCACAGACTGCCCTACATGACATCATAACAACAGTCTGGACCACTGGACGGATTCCGCAGGATTGGAAGGATGCCCTGGTGGTCCCCCTCTTTAAGAAGGGGGACCGCACAGACTGTAACAACTACAGGGGCATCTCACTCCTCAGTGTGCCGGGAAAGGTCCTGGTAAGGATTATTCAACATCGCCTTGCCAGGCACGCTGAGGAGAAGCTTGCGGAGCCCCAATGCGGTTTCAGGAAAGGGCGGTCCTGCGCAGATGCCATATTTTCTGTCCGTCTGCTACATCAGAGGTGTAGGGAATTCCAACAAGACCTACATCTCTGCTTTATTGACCTGGTCAAGACCTATGATACCATCAGTAGGCCTGGGCTCTGGGTTGTTCTTCGTGCTTTCGGAGTCCCTGACCCTCTGCTCACGATCATTAAGGACCTTCATGATGGTGAGCGGGCCCGGGTAAAACTACGTTTCCGGGGGTCAGAGCCATTCCCTGTACACCTTGGGGTGCGACAGGGATGTCCTCTGGCTCTCACATTATTTAACATCTATTTCGACCACGTAGTTTGAGAAGCTTATTATGGCTGTACCAGAGGAATTTCCATCTGATACAGATACAATGGGAGGCTGATCGATGCCCGGGTGCGGTCAAGGGATGGCTCCCTATTGCTCAACCACGTTATGTATGCCGATGATCTGGTAATCGCTGCTCACTCAGAGGAGGAGTTGGAGGCGCTGCTGCTGAGACTGGAGCGTGCCACTAAGAGATGAGGCCTTTCCATCAGCCCCACCAAAACTAAGCACCTGCCTGGGTATTTTGTTCCATCGGACACTCCACTCCCACAACTTCCAATCGGTGATGGGGCAGTTGTGGAAAGAGTGGAGAGTTTCCCATACCTGGGCAGTGTGCTTATGACCGGCTCCGGTTTAACAGCAGAGGTCTCACTCCGAATCTGTCGAGCGGCAATATTTTTTCATCGGTTGCGTAACGCTGTGTGGAAGCTACCTGGTCTGTCGTTCCGCACGAAGGAGGAGCTCACAAATCCTTGAAAGATCCTGGCAAAGTCCCATCGGTGAGCTCCTCCGGCAGGCAAGGCTGCGTTGGCTGGGTCATGTAGCCCGCATGCCCAGCCACCGCATGCCGAAACAGCTTTTGTTCGGCCGGATCGAGGGGGCTAAGCGGGCGCGGCACGGGCTAGAGAAGAGATGGAGTGACGTGGTACAGGAGGACGTGGAGCTGAGTGGACTTGCCGATGACTGGTACCAGCGGTGTCAAGATCGACCTCTGTGGAGGAGGCTCGTGAAGGATGCTACTGGGCAGTTGGAGGCAGTCGCCCTCCAACAACAACGGAGGGCGGAGGAGCGACGCTCACAACAACGAGCGGAGCGCCGGGTGGCTAAAGCACAGCAGGTTGGCACAGTAGGGGGCACAGGTGGTGCATCAGCCAGTCATCTCAGTCAGTCGACCCGTGGCACCTGCTGGGTCTGCCCCGTGACCTCCTGCCAGCGGGCGTTCGACACTTCACGTGGCCTCAAGGTGCACATAGCCTGGCACAAGCGTCGTGGTGACGTCACCGCCACTTAGTGGCGAATGGCAGTTGTTGTTGAGCGAGCGAGCGAGTGGCTGAGCGAGTGGGTGAGCGAGCGGGTGAGGGAGCGAGTGGGTGAGGGAGCGAGTGGGTGAGTAGGCGGGTGAGCGGGCGGGTGGCTGAGCGAGTGGCTGAACGAGCGAGTGGCTGAGCGAGTGGGTGAGGGAGCGAGTGGGTGAGTAGGCGGGTGAGCGAGCGGGTGAGCGAGCGGGTGAGGGAGCGAGTGGGTGAGTAGGCGGGTGAGCGAGCGAGCGGGTGAGCGAGCGGGTGAGCGAGCGGGTGAGCGGGTGAGCGAGCGGGTGAGTGAGTGGGTGAGCGGGTGAGCGAGCGGGTGAGCGAGCGAGCGGGTGAGCGAGCGGGTGAGCGTGCGCGTGCCGTGAGCAGATGTTGGTGTGCACGGGCGAGGAGGAGGAGGAGGATGAGGAGGAGGAGGAGGCGCGTGAGGAGGTGGACGCCGAGGAGCCTGGAGCTGCCCGGCGCCGTGAGAAGGAGCGGCGCTCCCTCTGGAGCCACGGCAGTGAGCAGCACGGCACCTGGGGGGGGTGGGGGTGGGGGTGGGGGGGTGGGGGTGGGGGTGGGGGGTGGGGGGTGGTGGGGGGGGGGGGTGGGGGGGGGTGGGGGGGTGAGTGAGTGAGTGAGTGAGTGGGTGAGTGGGTGAGTGGGTGGGTGAGTGAGTGGGTGAGTGAGTGGGTGGGTGGGTGAGTGAGTGGGTGAGTGAGTGGGTGGGTGAGTGGGTGAGTGAGTGAGTGGGTGAGTGAGTGGGTGGGTGGGTGAGTGAGTGGGTGAGTGAGTGGGTGGGTGGGTGAGTGGGTGGGTGGGTGAGTGAGTGGGTGAGTGAGTGGGTGGGTGGGTGAGTGAGTGGGTGAGTGAGTGGGTGGGTGGGTGAGTGAGTGGGTGAGTGGGTAAGTGAGTGAGTGGGTGAGTGGGTGAGTGAGTGGGTGAGTGAGTGAGTGGGTGAGTGAGTGAGTGGGTGAGTGAGTGAGTGGGTGAGTGAGTGGGTAGGTGAGTGAGTGAGTGGGTGAGTGAGTGGGTGAGTGAGTGAGTGGGTGAGTGAGTGAGTGGGTGGGTGAGTGAGTGAGTGGGTGAGTGAGTGAGTGGGTGAGTGAGTGAGTGGGTGAGTGAGTGGGTAGGTGAGTGAGTGAGTGGGTGAGTGAGTGGGTGAGTGAGTGAGTGGGTGAGTGAGTGAGTGGGTGGGTGAGTGAGTGAGTGGGTGAGTGAGTGAGTGAGTGGGTGAGTGAGTGGGTGAGTGAGTGAGTGAGTGGGTGAGTGAGTGGGTGAGTGAGTGAGTGGGTGGGTGAGTGAGTGGGTGAGTGAGTGAGTGAGTGGGTGAGTGAGTGGGTGAGTGAGTGAGTGGGTGAGTGAGTGGGTGGGTGGGTGAGTGGGTGAGTGAGTGGGTGAGTGAGTGAGTGAGTGGGTGAGTGAGTGGGTGAGTGAGTGAGTGGGTGGGTGGGTGAGTGAGTGGGTGAGTGAGTGAGTGGGTGAGTGAGTGGGTGGGTGAGTGAGTGAGTGGGTGACTGTAACTGTGACCCCCCCCCAGTCACCCCCCCGTTGAAGAACGTGAGGAAGAGGCGCTTCAGGAAGTCTGCCCGCAAGAAGGTGAGCAGCAGTAGTATCAGTAGTAGTGTCAGTAGTAGTAGTATCAGTAGTAGTAGTATCAGTAGTAGTAGTATCAGCAGTAGTATCAGTAGTAGTAGTATCAGTAGTAGTAGTATCAGCAGTAGTATCAGTAGTAGTAGTATCAGCAGTAGTAGTGTCAGCAGTAGTAGTATCAGTAGTAGTAGTATCAGTAGTAGAAGTATCAGTAGCAGTAGTATCAGTAGCAGTAGTATCAGTAGTAGTAGTATCAGCAGTAGTAGTATCAGTAGTAGTAGTATCAGTAGTAGTATCAGTAGCAGTAGTATCACTAGTAGTATCAGTAGTAGTAGTATCACTAGTAGTATCAGTAGTAGTAGTATCAGTAGTAGTAGTATCAGTAGTAGTAGTATCAGTAGTAGTAGTATCAGCAGTAGTATCAGTAGTAGTAGTATCAGCAGTAGTAGTATCAGTAGTAGTAGTATCAGTAGTAGTAGTATCAGTAGTAGTAGTATCAGTAGTACTATCAGTAGTAGTAGTATCACTATTAGTATCAGTAGTAGTAGTATCAGTAGTAGTAGTATCAGCAGTAGTATCAGTAGTAGTAGTATCAGCAGTAGTAGTATCGGTAGTAGTAGTATCAGTAGTAGTAGTATCAGTAGTAGTAGTATCAGTAGTAGTATCAGCAGTAGTAGTATCAGTAGTAGTAGTATCAGTAGTAGTAGTATCAGCAGTAGTAGTATCAGTAGTAGTAGTATCAGTAGTAGTAGTATCAGTAGTAGTAGTATCAGTAGTAGTAGTATCAGCAGTAGTAGTATCAGTAGTAGTAGTAGTATCAGTAGTAGTAGTAGTAGTATCAGTAGTAGTAGTAGTATCAGTAGTAGTAGTATCAGTAGTAGTAGTATCAGTAGTAGTAGTATCAGCAGTAGTAGTATCAGCAGTAGTAGTATCAGTAGTAGTAGTATCAGTAGTAGTAGTATCAGTAGTAGTAGTATCAGCAGTAGTAGTATCAGTAGTAGTAGTATCAGTAGTAGTAGTAGTATCAGTAGTAGTAGTAGTATCAGTAGTAGTAGTATCAGTAGTAGTAGTATCAGTAGTAGTAGTATCACTAGTAGTAGTATCAGCAGTAGTAGTATCTGTAGTAGTAGTATCAGTAGTAGTAGTATCAGTAGTAGTAGTATCAGTAGTAGTAGTATCACTAGTAGTAGTATCAGTAGTAGTAGTATCAGTAGTAGTAGTATCAGTAGTAGTAGTATCAGTAGTAGTAGTATCAGTAGTAGTAGTATCAGTAGTAGTAGTAGTAGTATCAGTAGTAGTAGTATCAGCAGTAGTAGTATCAGTAGTAGTAGTATCAGTAGTAGTAGTATCAGTAGTAGTAGTATCAGTAGTAGTAGTATCAGCAGTAGTAGTATCAGCAGTAGTAGTATCAGTAGTAGTACTATCAGTAGTAGTACTATCAGTAGTAGTATCAGTAGTAGTAGTATCAGTAGTAGTAGTAGTATCAGTAGTAGTAGTAGTATCAGTAGTAGTAGTATCAGTAGTAGTAGTATCAGCAGTAGTAGTATCTGTAGTAGTAGTATCAGTAGTAGTATCAGTAGTAGTAGTATCAGTAGTAGTAGTATCAGTAGTAGTAGTATCACTAGTAGTAGTATCAGTAGTAGTAGTATCAGTAGTAGTAGTATCAGTAGTAGTAGTATCACTAGTAGTAGTAGTAGTATCAGTAGTAGTAGTATCACTAGTAGTAGTATCACTAGTAGTAGTATCAGCAGTAGTAGTATCAGCAGTAGTAATATCAGCAGTAGTAGTATCAGCAGTAGTAGTATCAGTAGTAGTAGTATCAGTAGTAGTAGTATCAGTAGTAGTAGTATCAGTAGTAGTATCAGTAGTAGTAGTAGTATCACTAGTAGTAGTATCAGTAGTAGTAGTATCAGCAGTAGGAGTATCAGTATTAGTAGTATCAGTATTAGTAGTATCAGTAGCAGTAGTATCAGTAGTAGTAGTATCAGTAGTAGTAGTATCAGTAGTAGTAGTATCAGTAGTAGTAGTATCACTAGTAGTAGTATCAGTAGTAGTAGTATCAGTAGTAGTAGTATCAGCAGTAGGAGTATCAGTATTAGTAGTATCAGTATTAGTAGTATCAGTAGCAGTAGTATCAGTAGTAGTAGTATCAGCAGTAGTATCAGTAGTAGTAGTATCAGTAGTAGTATCAGCAGTAGTAGTATCAGTAGTAGGAGTATCAGTAGTAGTAGTATCAGTAGTAGTAGTATCAGTAGTAGTAGTATCAGCAGTAGTATCAGTAGTAGTATCAGTAGTAGTATCAGCAGTAGTAGTATCAGTAGCAGGAGTATCAGTAGTAGTAGTATCAGTAGTAGTATCAGTAGTAGGAGTATCAGTAGTAGTAGTATCAGCAGTAGTAGTATCAGTAGTAGTAGTATCAGTAGTAGTAGTAGTAGTATCAGTAGTAGTAGTATCAGCAGCAGTAGTATCAGTAGTAGTAGTATCAGTAGTAGTAGTATCAGTAGTAGTAGTATCAGTAGTAGTAGTATCAGTAGTAGTAGTATCAGTAGTAGTAGTATCAGTAGTAGTAGTATCAGTAGTAGTATCAGTAGTAGTAGTATCAGTAGTAGTAGTAGTAGTATCAGTAGTAGTAGTATCAGTAGTAGTAGTATCAGTAGTAGTAGTATCAGTAGTAGTAGTATCAGTAGTAGTAGTATCAGCAGTAGTAGTATCAGCAGTAGTAGTATCAGTAGTAGTGGTATCAGTAGTAGTAGTATCAGTAGTAGTATCAGTAGTAGTAGTAGTATCAGTAGTAGTAGTATCAGCAGTAGTAGTATCAGTAGTAGTAGTATCAGTAGTAGTAGTATCAGCAGTAGTAGTATCAGCAGTAGTAGTATCAGTAGTAGTAGTATCAGCAGTAGGAGTATCAGTAGTAGTAGTGTCAGCAGTAGTAGTATCAGTAGTAGTAGTATCAGTAGTAGTATCAGTAGTAGTAGTAGTATCAGTAGTAGTAGTATCAGCAGTAGTAGTATCAGTAGTAGTAGTATCAGTAGTAGTAGTATCAGCAGTAGTAGTATCAGCAGTAGTAGTATCAGTAGTAGTAGTATCAGTAGTAGTAATATCAGTAGTAGTAGTATCAGTAGTAGTATCAGTAGTAGTAGTATCAGTAGTAGTAGTATCAGCAGTAGTAGTAGTATCAGTAGTAGTAGTATCACTAGTAGTAGTATCAGTAGTAGTAGTATCAGTAGTAGTAGTATCAGCAGTAGGAGTATCAGTATTAGTAGTATCAGTATTAGTAGTATCAGTAGCAGTAGTATCAGTAGTAGTAGTATCAGCAGTAGTATCAGTAGTAGTAGTATCAGTAGTAGTATCAGCAGTAGTAGTATCAGTAGTAGGAGTATCAGTAGTAGTAGTATCAGTAGTAGTAGTATCAGTAGTAGTAGTATCAGCAGTAGTATCAGTAGTAGTATCAGTAGTAGTATCAGCAGTAGTAGTATCAGTAGCAGGAGTATCAGTAGTAGTAGTATCAGTAGTAGTATCAGTAGTAGGAGTATCAGTAGTGGTAGTATCAGCAGTAGTAGTATCAGTAGTAGTAGTATCAGTAGTAGTAGTATCAGTAGTAGTATCAGTAGTAGTAGTATCAGCAGCAGTAGTATCATTAGTAGTAGTATCAGTAGTAGTAGTATCAGCAGTAGTAGTATCAGTAGTAGTAGTATCAGTAGTAGTAGTATCAGTAGTAGTAGTATCAGCAGTAGTAGTATCAGTAGTAGTAGTATCAGTAGTAGTAGTATCAGTAGTAGTAGTATCAGTAGTAGTAGTATCAGTAGTAGTAGTATCAGTAGTAGTAGTATCAGCAGTAGTAGTATCAGCAGTAGTAGTATCAGTAGTAGTAGTATCAGTAGTAGTAGTATCAGTAGTAGTAGTAGTATCAGTAGTAGTAGTAGTATCAGTAGTAGTAGTAACAGTAGTAGTAGTATCAGTAGTAGTAGTATCAGTAGTAGTAGTATCAGCAGTAGTAGTATCAGCAGTAGTAGTATCAGTAGTAGTAGTATCAGTAGTAGTAGTATCAGTAGTAGTAGTATCAGTAGTAGTATCAGCAGTAGTAGTATCAGTAGTAGTAGTATCAGCAGTAGTAGTATCAGTAGTAGTAGTATCAGTAGTAGTAGTATCAGTAGTAGTAGTATCAGTAGTAGTAGTATCAGTAGTAGTAGTATCAGCAGTAGTAGTATCAGTAGTAGTAGTATCAGTAGTAGTAGTATCAGTAGTAGTAGTATCAGTAGTAGTAGTATCAGCAGTAGTAGTATCAGTAGTAGTAGTATCAGTAGTAGTAGTATCAGTAGTAGTAGTATCAGTAGTAGTAGTATCAGTAGTAGTAGTAGTATCAGTAGTAGTAGTATCAGCAGTAGTAGTATCAGTAGTAGTAGTATCAGTAGTAGTAGTAGTATCAGTAGTAGTAGTAGTATCAGTAGTAGTAGTATCAGTAGTAGTAGTATCAGTAGTAGTAGTATCACTAGTAGTAGTATCAGCAGTAGTAGTATCTGTAGTAGTAGTATCAGTAGTAGTAGTATCAGTAGTAGTAGTATCAGTAGTAGTAGTATCACTAGTAGTAGTATCAGTAGTAGTAGTATCAGTAGTAGTAGTATCAGTAGTAGTAGTATCACTAGTAGTAGTATCAGTAGTAGTAGTATCAGTAGTAGTAGTATCAGTAGTAGTAGTATCAGTAGTAGTAGTATCAGTAGTAGTAGTATCAGTAGTAGTAGTATCAGTAGTAGTAGTATCACTAGTAGTAGTATCAGTAGTAGTATTATCAGTAGTAGTAGTATCACTAGTAGTAGTATCACTAGTAGTAGTATCAGCAGTAGTAGTATCAGCAGTAGTAATATCAGCAGTAGTAGTATCAGCAGTAGTAGTATCAGCAGTAGTAGTATCAGTAGTAGTAGTATCAGTAGTAGTAGTATCAGTAGTAGTAGTAGCAGTAGTAGTAGTATCAGTAGTAGTAGTATCAGTAGTAGTAGTATCAGTAGTAT